AACTCCCCCTCAAAGATAGTACACCACCATACGTGAGGACTATGAGCATGAAAAAAAAAAAAAAAAAAAAAAAAAAAAAAAAAAAAAAATAATAATAATAATAATAATAATAATAATAATGATAAGTTAGTTAGACAAATTTGGAGATGTGAAAGGCACCCTCGAGTTGGAAAGTCAGTAGTCAAGTCAGCGATAAAAATTGTAAAGACACATTTACCGGAAATAGAAAATCAAGCGGTCGAGGATGAAGAAGAATTACTGTCTACAGATATTAAGGCCATGACAAGGAAGACCTTGAAGGATAAATGGATACGAAAGCAGCTTCATGGTCAATACGTGAAGAGAATTAAGAGACCAGGGATTAATGAATGCCAAACGTTTGCGTGGCTCACGAGAGGGAAGGTAAAAGGTGAAACAGAGGCCCTGATAACGGCCGCCCAAGACCAGGCCTTACGTACAAGACATTATGAGAAACATATCCTCAAAGTAACAGCAAATGATAGATGTCGAATGTGCAAACAATACTCAGAAACAATAGATCATCTTATATCCGGCTGTCCTCAACTGGCGAAGCACGAGTACTTGGTCCGACATAATAAAATATGCATATACTTGCATCATGCCATCTGTATAAGCTTTGGGATCGCAGTGGAAGAAAAATGGTATAATCACAACCCCACTCCAGTAGTTAGTAAAGATGAGATTACCATAATATATGACTTACCAGTGCAAACAGATCGTGAGATATCCGCGAACCGCCCAGACATAATCGTCAAAAACCAACGTGACAAAACCTGCCTGCTAATAGATGTTTCAGTCCCCAACGATGAAAACGTTGTAAACAAAGAAGCTGAAAAGAGATTGAAATACAAAGATCTCTCAATTGAAATCCAAAGAATGTGGAATCTGAGGACGAAGATAGTTCCCGTAATATTAGGTGCATTAGGGACGATCCCAGACAATCTACATGAAAACCTAAATCTCATACCAGGAAGGCACAGGACAGCAGCCGTGCAGGAGATTGCTTTGTATGGTACAGCAACCACATTACGTAAGACACTATAAGGTAATGGACTTCGTTAGGATGTGGTAATCTTCGAAGTACCATAATGAAAATGACCAACCAAAACCGGCCCACATGGACAGAACCAGTTGAATAGATAGGGCTGTGGAAAATAAACAAATAATAATAATAATAATAATAATAATAATAATTATAATAAAAGTAATTATTATTGTAATAATAATAATAATAATAATTATAATCATATATTATATTATATATTATAATAATAATTTTTATTATTATTATAACTATTATTATTATTATTATTATAACTATTATTATTAATATTATAATATTATTACTATTATTATTGTTATTATAATTATTATTCTTATATTATAATTATTTTTATAGTTATTCTTCAATAATAATAATGATAATAATAATATAATTATAATAATAAAAATAATAGTAATAATAATAAGAATAATTATAATGATAACAATAATAATTATAATAGTAATAATTATAATAACAATTATAATATATTATTATTTAATTATAATAATAATAACAATAATAATAATAATAATCATTATATAATTATAATAGAAATGATAGTATAAGAGAATTATAATAAAATTATAATGATAATAACAATAATCATATACCAATAATATAATAATTATTATAAGAATAATAGTAAATAATAATAATCATAATAATATAATAATAACTAATAATAATAATAATAATATAATAATGATAGCAATTATAATAATAATATTATTATTATAATAATAAAATAAATAAAAATAATAATTATAATAATAATAGTAATTATAATAATAATAATATTATTATTATGTAATGACAGTTTTATAATAATGATAATAATTATCATTATAATAATAATCATAATATTATTATTATTATTATTTTTATAATAACAGTAATAATAATAATAATTATAATTTAATTATTATTTTAATAATAATATTATTATTATTGTTATAATAATTATAATAATAATAATAGTTATTATAATAATAATAATAGTAATTATAATAATAATAATAATAATTATAATAATTATAATTATAGTTATAATAATTATAATAATAATAATAGTAATTAATAATGATAATACTAATAATAATGATAATAATATTAATACAATAATATAATAATAATAATAATTATAATTATAATAATGATAATAATAATAATAATAATATAATAATAATAATAATAATTATAATAATATTATAATAATAATACTAATAATAATAATTATAATTATAATAGTAGTAATTCTAATCATAATTATAATGATAATCCTACTAATCCTTCTCTACTTATAATAATAATAGTTATAATAACTAATTATAATAATTATAATAATAATAATAATAATAAAATCGACGAAATGGTATGAGCATCACCCCGACAGAATAACACGAGGTGAAGATGGTAGTATCACAATCATGTATGACCATCCCGTTATCACGGATAGAGAAATAAAGCAAACCACACCAGATATATAATTGATATATCGGTTACCTGCAGATAGACATGTCATACAAAAGGAGGCTGAAAGCAACTAAAATACAAATCATTACTCATAGAAGTGCAAAGAATGTGGCATACAAAGGGCAGTTGTTATTCCCGTAGTGATTGGTTCAACTGGATATGTCACTCGCAGCATCCTAGATAACCTAAAAAGGATACCAGGAGATCATAATTTCTATCAGTTACAGAAGATCGCCTTATTAGGCACATCGCACATAATTAGGGAAGTTATAACATAACCAGCTCATAAACTACAAAGATCTGTACCCCTCAGGTCCTCGGCGAGGACCCGGTGTAGAGGTCAAACCGTTCCATATAAGATACCGCTACTAATAGAAAACGGTCCTGTAGCGTGAAAAAAGAAAAGTTAATAATAATAATAATAATAATAATTATAGTAATAATAACAATCATTATAATAATAATAATAAGAGGAATAACTGTAATAATTATAATAATAATAATAATAATGATAATAATAATAATAAATGAACAGAGAGTTGGCGAACAATGTGTAAGAAAAAACAGAAAACTGCCAGCCTGGGAGATGAGGATATCGCGTAATATAGAAGAGATTAGAAAGGACATAGCAATACTCACCCAGTACCGCATGTCTGAATGTAGTCTGAGAGTAAAGAGATCCGCAGAGAATGTGATAAACCGTCACTGCTCGGAGGAGAACCCAACAGCTGTAGAAGTCTTGGACTACCTGAAGCAAAAACTAGCAGCTACAGCACTGCGACTTCGAAGGTACAAGAAAAGCAACGAACGCCGGAAACAAAATCGAGCATTCTAGACTAATCAGCGAGGCTTCTACAGGAACTTGCAGGCGCGACGAAGGGATACAGAACAGAACAACGTTCAGATTCCTACCTCAGATGCCATCAACACCTTCTGGTCAGGAATTTGGAGCAATCCAATCAATCATTGCACATCTAAATGGTACCGCCAAGAGAAAGCAAATAATTCAACTTTTAGGACCATGCTCGACTGGAAAGTTAGCTTAGATGACGTGGTAAATACTTTACGAAAATTACCAAACTGGAAAGCCCCAGGATCAGATAAGCTTCAGAATTATTGGCTAAAAACGTTCACTTCGGGTCACGATCGACTCGCAAAGTGTTACATCTCAATCTTAGAGCAACCATATGTTATATGTTACCAGAGTTCTTAACAATGGGAATAACATATTTAATCCCAAAGTGCTGCGGTCACTCTAACGATCCGGCAAAATACCGACCAATCACCTGTCTGCCGACTATTTACAAGGTATTGACTGCTATAATTACTGAAAAGATATATTCACACCTAGAGCGGAATACTATACTAGACGAAGAGCAAAAAGGTTGCCGAAAAGGGTCTCGAGGCTGTAAAGAGCAACTTGTTATAGACTCTGTCATAACTAATTATGCCAAAAAGAAAAAAATACCCCTGTACATTGCATACATCGATTATCAGAAAGCGTTTGACAGTATACCTCATTCTTGGCTGTTAGAGGTGCTTGACCTTTATGGGATCGAGTGCCACATCAAACAATTTCTGGCACATGCTATGGCGAATTGGAAGACACGGCTCTATCTCAACACCCAAGATACGCAATTTAGTGCCGGAGAGGTATCCATCAAGAGAGGAATATTTCAAGGAGACTCTTTAAGTCCGCTATGGTTCTGCTTAGCGCTTAGACCGTTAACAACAATGCTAAATAGCCAAAAGAAAGGAATACTGTTAGGTGGCAATGAAACACGCATTTCACATCTTTGGTACATGGATGACCTCAAACTTTTTGCAGAAACCAAAGAACATCTTCATAAGCTTCTGGACTGTGTAAGTAAATTCAGCACTGACATCAAGATGCTGTTTGGCTTAGACACGTGCAGGATCAGTTGCATGGTAAAAGGCCAATGGAGTAAACATTCAGGATATGAGCCGAACCAAGTGCAAGGGAAAATTGAAGGAATGCAGCAAGATGAACAGTATACATACTTAGGCTATCTACAAGCGCCGGGCATAGACCAGAAAGCTGCAAAAGAAAAGGCAATGGAGCACTATAGAACACGTTTGAGGGCGGTGCTGAAAACAAGTCTGTCAGTTCGTAATACAGCACTTGCTGTCAGCACCTACGCTACTTCGGTCCTTACCTATACGTTTGGCATACTGAACTGGACGGATACAGAACTGAACGCACTTAATATGGAAACCAGAAAAGAATTCCGTAAACACCGGGGACACCACCCACATAGCTCCATAGAGCGGTTCCATCTGCCACGAAGTGAGGGTGGCAGAGGAATACCTTGCATACCTACACTACATCACCGCCAAGTGGACAATCTACGCCAGTACTTCCTCCAAAAAGCCACATCCAGCAGAATGCATCAAGCAATAACACAGACGGATAAAAAGTTGACACCACTCAACCTTTCAGAAAAATCTTTCAACCCTGAGGCAAAGATAACCTCAGTGCAGGATCTAGTTCGCCGATGGAAAGCCAAACCACTACATGGTCGGTATAGGAGACGCATGGAAGACAACGCCATTGACACGAAGGCTTCCCAAGGATGGTTGCAGTCAGGTAATCTGTTCCTGGAGACGGAGGGCTTCATAGCCTCCATCCAGGATCAGGTAGTCCCAACAAAGTTGTACCGAAAGCGTATAATGCATGAGAACGTTGAAGATATTAGATGCCGCATATGTGGGGAAAAAGATGAGCACATAGATCATATTGTAACAGGCTGCTCTCCCTTAGCTCCTAAACAATATCATGAAAGACACAATGATGTGGCCAAAATAATTTATCAAGCTTTGGCTAAAAAGCATCTAGGAGAAACTGGTACACAGCCCTACTATAAATACACGCCGCCACCTGTGATAGAAGCGGAGACCTCTAGGCTGTACTGGAACCGTAAAATCATAACTGACAGGCCCATCCCCAACAATATTCCTGACATAGTGCTCACACTAAAAGAATAAAGAACGACGTTTATAATAGACATAGCTGTGCCTCTTCCTACTAATATCCAAACCCCCCATGCGGAAAAGATCAATAAGTATTTGCCACTCTCCGACGAAATAAAACGCATGTGGGAAATGGGCAATGTGTCTGTAATACCAGTTATCATAGGAGCTACTGGAGAGATACCAAGGAAGCTACACAAGAGTCTGGGAAAGCTACAGCTCCATCCAAAAATATACTTGCAGTTGCAAAAAGCTGCATAGCTGGGAACTTGTAGGACAGTACGTAGGGTTTTAGGAGATGAGAACCGGATACGGTGAAAAAACCGCTGCAGATCTATTTCCTTACTTTGGCAGTTAGCCTGAGGGAAATATTAATACCTTCGACAGAGGAGTAAATTAGTATAAAATAATAATAATTATAATAATAATAATAGTAATAATTACAATAATAATAATAATAATGCTAATAATAATAATAATTATTGTCATAATTATAATAATAATAATAATAATAATAATATAATAATAATTATAATAATTATAATAATAATAATAATAATAATAATAATAATAATAATAATAATAATAATTGTAATTATAATAATAATAACGATTATAATAATAATAAAAAGAATAACTATAATAATTATAATAATAATAGTAATTAATAATAGTAATAATAACGTTAATAATAACCCGCGTGGAGTTGCTAGTCTCCCATCGGGCGCCTCCCTGTGCGAATTGGGAAACGCTCTCCAGATATGGAGGGTACCGGGGAAATTAAATACCTGGGGTGGACAAAAACTAGCATTACCGCTCTATGGGTTAGCACCCCGTAGAACGTGATTCTAACCGCTGTAAAGACGAGAAGGAATACAGTTTTGGGCGTGGCAGAGAATCAGGCTGACTCTGTTCGGAAGCGTCAGGAGGCTATGCCTGTCTTGGGATCCAGTGAAGTAGGTGGCACTGACCCGAGGATTGGACCTACCACCACACAGGCGATGGAAATGGAACAACGATTACATCGAAGCTCTGAAAGTGTTGCCGAGCAAATTGCTCGTCCCACTCAAGAGGATAATAGTCGTAGGAAACGGATGAAATGGAGTGATGAAATGAATGAATACCTCTACCGTACCTACCTCAAAATCACCAAAATGGAAACATCAAAGGACCCCTATAGCGTCGAACTCTACCAAACCATGATTGGAAGGTTTCCTGATCTAGCAAGTAAAACACGTCAGAACATATTGGACCAACGACGACATCTCTTTACGACGAACAGGATATCGATAGATAAAGTGAACCGGATACGAAGAGAAGTGGAGATGGAACTCGGAATAGGACAGGCTGAACCATCGCGCGAGCTAGAGGATACAGCAAATACCAGCAGTGAAAGCACAAATATAAGGCAGATAGAAACTGAAGAGAAAACATGTTTTGAAAGGAATTTAATACTGTTCAAAGGCATAGATCCTTTTCTGAGACCAAGACTGCCTCGGTTGAGAACAAATAAGAATACTGTTCATATCTTGAATAGAGTAAATCATCTCATGACGACCAAGTTGTGTGACATAACCGGTATAACTGATTATCATGACCTAATCTATGCCGGCGCTTATACTGTGATTGAACTGCACCATCAAAAGATAAAGCAATCATACAAGCATACTGAACAAAAACCCAGATGGCAGATGAGGATCGAAGGGAAAATAAAAGATTTACGAGCAGCTATAGGCCCCCTTGTTCAGTACATCAAGTCAGATGCCCCGTCCAACCGGTTGCGAAATAAAGTCACAACAATAACCCAGAGACATCATGATGAGGATAATCAAAATCCGATACAGATCCTCGATAAGCTCCAACAAAGGTTGTCTGTATACGCAAATCGCCTAAAGCGATATAAAGAGTCGCATCAAAGAAAACTACAAAATAGCATATTTCGAACGAATCAAAAGAGGTTCTATCGCTCACTGGAAAACGAAGATGTAAGTACTACGGGTAAAACTCCAGAAGCTAGAGATGCATTAACATATTGGGCTGACCTATGGGAGAACCCTAAGACTCATAATAATAAAACAAGTTGGCTCGCGGACGAAAAGAGGAAAACCGAAAAAATACCCATGATGCACTACAACGTCATAACTGTGGAGGATGTTAAAAGATCTATAAACAACACGCAGAACTGGAAGGCGCCTGGACCTGATGGCATCCATAACTATTGGCTCAAAAAGTTCACTTGCACACACGAAACGTTAGCGATGATTTGCACAAGCCTCTTGCAAGATCCAGAATCCATTCCAGCATTTCTGACAACGGGAAACACCTACTTGCTTCCTAAAACATTCCCTTCTGTGAGCGACCCATCAAAATACAGGCCAATTACGTGTCTTCCAACCATATATAAAATAATTACTTCAATTTTATGCGATCAAATTTACCAGCACCTTGAAAGGCATCATCTGCTCCCAGATGAACAGAAAGGCTGCAAAAAGGAAAGTCGTGGCTGCAAAGAGCAACTTACAATAGATACAATCATCACGGAGGAAGCAAAGGGCTGTAAGAAAGATCTGTATGTTGCATACATTGACTATAAAAAGGCCTTTGACAGTGTTCCTCACTCTCTATTAATTGAAATGCTCCAAATATATAAAATCAGCCCTAGTATAGTGAGATTGCTGCAAAACCTTATGCCTCAATGGAAAACTAATCTTGTAATAACCCATAAAGAAGAAAATATCAACATCGGTGCCATCAGCATTAAAAGAGGTATCTTCCAGGGAGATGCACTAAGTGCTTTATGGTACTGTATTGTATTAGCACCTCTATCTAGAATGCTGCACAAGAAGAACGAAGGTTATAAGCTTCAGAACAACCTACAAATAAGCCATCTAGCTTACATGGATGACATCAAACTAATATCTGCCACTAAGGATGGACTGGACAGGTTGCTTAAAACCATAAAGAAATACAGTGCTGACACAAGAATGGAGTTTGGCCTGGACAAGTGTAAGATTGGGGCTATTAGAAAAGGCATATGGGAAGATCACCCAGGGTTTATGTTGGAGCAGGGTCAGACAATAAGAAGCATGTCTGAGAAAGAGAGCTATACATATTTGGGACTAGATCAAGCAAGGGGTATCAAACACAAAGATATGAAAGAAGCTCTAAAGCAAAGATTAACGAGTAGGGTCAAATCAATACTTAAGACTCATCTGTCCGCAATACACAAAGTAAGGGCCATTAACACATATGCTATTCCGACAATAACATATAGCTTCGGAATAATCAAGTGGACAGACTCTGACTTAGAGCAGCTAAACAGAAACATAAGAGTCTTATTTACAAATCATAGAGCAAGACATCCCAAGAGTTCGATCGAAAGATTCTACTTGCCAAGATCCAAAGGGGGACGAGGCGTGATTGACCTTAAAGCAGCTAACCTGCGGAATATAGAAAACCTCAGGAGATTATTTTATAGAAAGGGCGAAACATCTGCATATCACAGAAATATAGCTTCAGCTGACTACAAGTTCACACCACTGAACCTGTCGGATGAACAGTATGAACCTCTAACCCATGTGACCACCGACGAACAATGGTATCATCAATGGAAGTCCAAACAGCTTCATGGAAGACATCCAGCCATGCTCAGCTCAGATCACATTGATGCAGAAGCGTCACATGGATGGCTGAAGAGTGGGGAGCTATTTTCGGAAACTGAAGGTTTCATGATTGGCATTCAAGATCAGGTGATACCAACCTTAAACTATAGAAAATACATCATGAAAGAAGAAGGCATTGAAGATAGATGTCGTATATGCCATAACAAGTCGGAAACAATAGAGCATATCCTGACGAGCTGCACTCCCCTAGCTTCCACTGAGTATCTGAAGCGCCACGACAACGTGGCTAAAATGGTTCACCAAGAAATTTGTTATGCTGCGAACATACTAACTGACCGCACCCCATATTACAAGTACCAGCCGACTCCAGTTATAGAAACTAACAGCCATAAAATATACTGGAATAGAACAATTCAAACAGATCACACCATGGAATACAACAAACCAGATATCGTAATTCAAGATAAAATGAAGCAAGTTACCTGCATAATTGACATTAGTGTGCCTGCCCCACATAACATAGCTGAGAAGCAGACAGAAAAGGTTCGCAAGTACTTACCACTAGCTGCAGAAGTAAAAACACTGTGGAATCAAGAAAAGTTGAAGTCATCCCAATAGTGATCGGAGCCACAGGAGAAATACCTAAGAGTCTACATAAATATATTGAGAAACTAAATCTGCCGCAGAAACTATACCTCTCACTTCAGAAAGCTGCTATCTTAGGTAGTTGTCATATAGCACGCAAGGTCCTGAATGTAGCCACATAGACAAAGAGAAACCAATAGTCACACTCAGACGCTTGCAGTATAATGCCGCGTTTGAGGATACACCTGCAGTAGCAGAGAATAGCTAACAGAAAACGGAATAATAATAATAATAATAATAGTTATAATAATAATAATAATAATTATAATAATAATAGCAATATAATATGGGTTAGCACCCCTAGAACATGTATATTTAAATGCTCTTAAAACGAGAAATAAGAGATACTCAGGCGGGCCGGCGCAGCAGGAGCCGGGTCGGAACCGTCTTGAAGATT